TAAAAGGAGTCTCGTGCCTCCTACATTATTCACCTAGTATGATTATTAGTCGACCATGACGTACCTCGATTTCCGATTGTTGATGACACCAAACGGATCTGTTATATTTGTAGATGGCCTTAATAGGTGAGAGAGACTGTGGGGTGAAGCAATGGAACGGATTAGCAATCAGGAAACAAAATTGTCGCAGGCAAAATTTCCTTTCTTCTATGTCCAGCGAGGAGGAAGACGCATGTAACCTTAACGACGACAAATTCATTGGATAAATGATCAAAGTTGGCCTCTTCTCTCACCTAGTCCTTCTCAGGTGAAATTGCCGCCGCATCGGCCGCTAGGGTTTCCAATTCCCTAGCACTGCAGCCTGCTACTGCCTCTTTACCGAATCTGGATACTCCCCTCGTCGTCAGTGAGGCACCTGCTGAAGTGCCCGAGCAGCCTAGGAGATGGAGAGGAGGGCAGGACCAAATCTTCCTTGGGGCCATGCAAGCACATGTGGAGGACACGGGGCGGCTATAACTACGTGACATATCCATGGGCAGGAGTGCAGGACGCAGGGAGGCGGAGTTTTCTTTTGCCATATGTAGATTAGTTCGCTGCAAAGAAGAGGTGTTCGCCTGGGAGGTGGGAAAAAGAGATAGGACTCTGAGATACATCATCCGACGGTCATAAATAACTAGTTAGGTGATCTGATGGACAGTTTTGTTTAATTTCTAGGATTAACGTGGTGCTTTAGATGGTGCCTCCAATTAGTGTATATATATATATATATATATATATATATATATATGTATATATATATATATATATATATATAAGATATAAGATAAGATGCAAATGCATGCATATTTATAGATGTAACCCTTTCGAATGGGAGACGCATAGTGGTTACGCATATTGATGATTGACACCTATAGCTAGCAAGTTTCATCGGCACGAAGACCGGAACCGAGCAAATGAAGGGTGAAGGACGAGATGTCATTTGTGCTCACCAACGAACGCAGAGGCGGAGCTCGTCGAACACTATACCCTCATAGCGACGAAATAACTGCATATTTAAATCGAAAGATGAGTAACATAGCAAGTACCTCGCACCGACAATACTTGCTATTTACGGTACCATCGACACCGAGGAACCCCCTAACCCGCTCGTCCTCGGGTAAACTAAATAGAACTACCATCGGTGCAAGTTACATGAGGCGGTCGGCGTTGAACACTAGATCTACATCCCACAAGTGAAGCCGGTGCCCGGCGTCCCGCAACAATAGTTCTGGTGGCCGATGATGGTCGAACACCTTGGCGAATTTGTCTGGCAGCCCCTGCGATGAGGATTAAAGCCAAGTTTTGAAATTTCAAACAACCAAACCGACTTGAGTTAGTTTGGGTGTTTCAAGTTTCAACACTTAGCTTTCAATCGTCATATCTGAGGCTGCCAGACAAATTCGCAATGGTGTTCGACCGCCATCGACGCCGAGAACTGTTGCTGCTGGACGCAGGACCCCTGTGTCACTTGTGGGACGTGGATGTAGTCTTCAACACCGACGGACACATGTACCTCGCACTGATGATACTTGCTATTTAGGGTACCATTGACACCAAGGAACCCCCTATTTAGGGTGTCTTTTTCTTCTTCTTCTTCTTCTTCTTCTTCTTCTTCTTCTTCTTCTTTCTCTTTCTTCTTCTTCTTCTTCTTCTTCTTCTTCTTCTTCTTCTTCTTCTTCTTCTTCTTCTTCTTCTGTCTCCTCCTCCTCCTCCTCCTCCTCTTCTTCTTCTTTTTCTTCTTCTCCTTCTTCTTCTTCTTCTTCTTCTCCTTTTTTCTCTTCTTAAACCTAGCACTAACCTAAAACAAAACAGGAAAAAACTACACCTAAACTTAGCACTAACCTAAACCTAAAAAATCAAAACTACACCTAAACCTAAAAACTCAAAAGTACACCTAATTAAACCTAGCACTAACCTAAAACAAATCAAGAAAATAGAGAACAAAAAACAGGAAAAAAAAAGCAAAAATTACCTCTTGCTCCGGCGAGGTCGGCCGGTGGGGTGGGACGGCGCAGGGACCTCGGGGAGGGGTCCGGCACCGGGGCGGCACGGCGCAGGCCATTCTGGCGACGGGGCGCGGTGGGGTGACGGGGCATGGCGAGCGGCGGGGCGACGGGGCGCGGCGGGGCGACGGGGCGACGGGGCGGGGATGGCCGGCAGCGGCGACAGGGGAGAGAGGCGGGCGCGTGGGAGGGATAGAGAGAGAGGGGGGAAACGGCTCAACCCGTTAAGTGGGGCTTCTTTGCCGTCTGTTAGCAGACGGCAAAGATGCCACCGTTAGGGCTGGCCCACGTCTCCTCCTTGCCGTCCGCAAGCAGACGTCAAATGACTAACATTGCCGTCTGCCAGCAGACGGCAAAGAAGAAGCGAACGGCAAAGAATCTGACCTATCCACGCCATGCCCTGTGGGGCCCACCTAGCTCTTTGTCGTCTGCCTTCTAGCTATTTGCCATCAGCTGGCCGACGGCAATGAAGAAGCTGACGGCAAATAGCATTTTTGCCATCTGCACATTCTTTGACGTCCGCTTTGTGGAAGCGGACGGAAAAGAGCCTCTTTGCCGTCAGCTGGCAGACGACAAAGAGGAGGCAGACGGCAAAATGCCAGATTCCAATAGTGTAGACAGGAATCCATGCGAGACAGGATTTTCACCACCCGGGGTGCTCCTACACCCTCTATGAACAGTAAATTCAAAACAAATTCAAAAAATATCAAAAAACTCTGAAACTTTGGGACATTGAACATCATGAAACTTTTGATGATTTTGCAAAGTTTCAGCTAAAAATAACATTCGAAGAGCACTCAAATAAAAAAACAAAATCATTGTTCAAAGTTTATGTACATTTTTGAGCAGTGGTTTTGTTTTGTTTTGGTGAGGGCTCCACAAAGGTTATTTGTTGCTGAAACTTTTCAGGAACATCAAACCTTCGATAATCTTTGATCCCTGAAAGTTTTAGATTCTTTTGATTATTTTTCGATTATTTATGAATTTACTGTTCATGAGGGTGTAGGGGCACCCGGGAGCTATTAGACATTTCCCAATCCATTTTGACTTGATCTGCTCCAGAAAGCTGGTTTCAAACTGAACAAGGAAACAAGTAAAGGGACAAGTCACTAAATACAACCAAATTGAATATATATGGATATAATTTGAAAATCATTCTGTAGCTACCACCTTTTACTTCCAAAGCATGTTCAGAATCATGGTAAAACCTAGAATGATCAAGGCCACAGAAACACCTCGGAATATGCCCTGCAGGAGCGTACATGAAGTAATTGAGCAAAGTAAAGACTTGCATAATTTTAGTGGCCATAGACGAAGGGAGCACATAATTTTAAAGGCCATCATAGACATCTGTTCCTAACACCGGAAAAGGGTTAATTATAATTGCAAAACCAAGTGAATATTTGTTCTCACAGTGGAAAGATGCACATCAAAGTTGCTTTTACACAAAATGTGTTGTACAAAATGCGAAAACTCAAAACGGTGCCCGGGCTCATCTGCTCCCTCTCAGCAAACAATTCAAAAAAAATACTAGAAAAATTCAAAAAATTCCAATTTTTTTGTGGTGGTAGATAATTTGACGCGTGAGGTGCGCCCCAAAATTCAACTTATTTGGACATCTGAGCAGCTCTCGGCAAAAAAGACAAATCGGGTCAAAACAGTCACGCACAATCATGAAAAGTTTTTTTATGGGTGATTGTAAATATAAATCTGCAATGCACAAAAATAATGAAACAATGGAGGATGCAGCAATATCCATGGCATGTAAACAATTACTTTCTCTGCTTTCTTCATGTAAGCATCCTAAGAAGTTACAAATTCGATCAGTTACTACAACCATCACAAAATATGATTTGTTTTTTTCACGTACCACAATTTTGAAGTCTACAAATGCTCTGGATTTGTTCTGTTGGACCTATATCCAAGAGAATGTACATATTATCATGTCAACGAAACAAAACTAGATGCTTAGAGCCTGTTTGGTTTCTCTCCGCTCCTCTGACTCCGCTCCCGGAGCGGACCAGCCTACGGAGCGGAGAGATACCAAACAGAGCCTTAGTTTGTAAAGGAAGAGTCCAACCTACGGTATGTGTTAGGTTTAACATGTGCAATATGATAAAGGTAGATTATTAAGAAGACACTTCAGAAATGACGACGTAACTCCTTGAATAAATGGAGGTCAGACACATAAATGAGAATCCAAGAGGTAACTCGAATAGAAACTTATTGATCTCTTTCAATGCCTGAATTGCAAAATTAGGAACAGGTAGGCATAGTACACCTTTTTTTGACAGAGGGCACATAGTACTCTACCTGTTATCAAGGACTGGAGCTACATCTCAGGAAAAATATATTGAGTAGATAATCGAGCATAAATCACTACACGTATTAATCTTCCCACCAGCGGCTGCTTGGACATTTCACCCAACACCTTGTAGGCAAAAGTAAAAACAAATCTGCACAGAAAGAGATAGACGTTCTCGGCATTAAATCAAAAATAGGAGTAGAAGTGAGACAGGGGGGATGCAATCAGACGGGGCTGGGGACGGGTGAGTACCTGCATATAGGCAAATTTCGGCAGCGTTTTTTCCTTTTTTTGGACAATCGACAGCGTTGGTGGAGCAGAGACTGCGTCTTTGCATACACAAAAGGGGCCTTCAGCCTTCTGCCATCAAGGATCGGGTCTTTCCGACATCTCACAGATTTTAAAAGTGAAATAATCAAAGTTTCTCTAAGGATAATACCGTTTTTCGATTGAACCGAGTTTGAACCATTCCCTTACATAAATCGAAGTTACATAAATCTAACTGATCTTGCCCACAGACGGGCATCAGCTTTGAAGCACGAACAACACTAATCTAAACACTGATCTTTTCTCATACATCGAGCATCAGTTTTGAAGCACTAACCTTAACTAAACTACAGAAATCTAAGTAGGATTCAAACTCTCGACACCAATCAGTTTTGGGTCAAGGATACCCAAAGTAAGAGACCATGAATGGTGGTGGATACAACTCCAGTGAGCACGAACAGCAAGATTGTCAGGAAGCTCGTCATGCACTTGGTCTCTATCTCTAAGGAGTAGTAAAATGCAAATCCTACACAGCCCAAACCTATGTAATGTGCACAAATAGCCAAAGAGAAAGCGGAACGCGCAGCAATTCTCCACCGTTTGTTGAGACGAGCAATACCTTCCTTGGGCTTCAAGCGTTCCACCTTATCGGTGGCGCGCCTATACTCCTGGACGCACGCATCCAGCTTCTTCCGGGCGTCGGCCAAAGCCTGGTCGCCCTCGAGAACGCCCAGGGCAAGATTGACGCGACGCGGGTCGTTGAGCTCCTTGACCTCCTTCTCGGCGCGCCCGATAGCCTCTTTGGCCACCTCCGCGGCATCGTACGCAGCCTTGTAAGCTGCGTCCTCCGAGGCGGCGACCCGCTCGTGGTCCTTGGCTGCCCCGTCCGCAACCTTCCGAACAAAGACCATCAACAACATGGCAATGGCCATAGCGCAAACTACATAGCCCACATGAGTTGCCATGAGTCGATGCAACTCATCTTCATCGCAAGTGCCGTGATAGGAGGTGGAACTAGCGGTGGGAGCGGAAGAAGGAGATGGATGAGTGGAACTAGTGGATGCAAAAAGGGTCAGTGCTAGCACTAAGAGAAACATGCCGGAAACTGTGCCAATCAACCAGCAAAAGGCCTCAGCGGCTTTAAGGAAGATGTTGCGGAAGGTAGTGGCCATTGTGCTTGTGCTAGGTTGTTGGCTTGCGGTGAGACTACACTACTGTATGAGCGTTTATATAGGCGGATGCTACACTACTACTCCTACTCAACCAAGTCACGAGCGCAAGCAACCTAGCAGCAGCAAAGTATCGTGGGGAGTTGGTCTTTCTCGCCCTCTCTCTCCCTTGCAAACAGTAAAAACGTGTAGCGGAG